CCTGTTAAGAGGCTGGATCCTAGTTCGGTAACCGGCAAGATAGAGTCGGCCAAACGATGCTACGTACGCGGGAGGTTAAACAATACTACGGTTACTAAAGTTCCCCAAGTTTTCTCGTTTGCACCTCTCCGTATCCCCGGGCCGCATTAGACCGTGTAAAGTACATACTTCCAACAAAGTTTTCGATCAAATAGGTATTTTTATATTTTCAAACACTGATAAGATGTACAATAACTACTATTCCATTTTATTAAAACACATTGTCAAATAATGGTTGGTGACTAACGCTTGAAGCTGTTTAATGAATTTTTGACATTCCAAATAAATCCAAACTCTTATAAAGCATTTGTTAAAAAATGTACGATCAAGATTGGTTCTCTATTTTAAATTAAATATTCGGACATAACTTCTTGGTAAATAGCCTTGGGGAAACGCTTTTATCTCGGGAACGTGTTAACGCGACCGAGAGAAAAGCAACCAATTTAATATCGACGCAGTTTCTTTGAGCCATTTGGGCGCTACACTTACGTGTGTACACTGCCGCTGTATGTATATAACGCGGCAAAGGCTAATCAAAAGCGACCGCAGTACTGGAAAAGTTAAATATTTAATGTTTTCAAACCATGTACAGCTACATATTTCAAGGCTACAAATTCGTATAAGTGGGGAAACTGTTTAACTGTTTTAACATTTCAGCTGTCCATCCCGCCGCTAAACTTTGAGGCAATTAAATAACAGTGCAATCCGCAAGTCCATACAAGTTGTGGTAATAATCGTTTAATGCTTTAGCGTCACTTTTTTACTTAAAACCGAAAGCCATAATATACATTAAAATGCGGTAATATATGTATATCGCATTGTCAGATTATGTCAGAATGTGTCGACTGAAATATATTTGGAGTCTATCAAATGTAAAAATACTAAAAGCTTTTATGTACGATTGAATGTATTTCAACTCCATATTACGATAATGCGTCTGGATGGAGTAATTATCATTTGTTATTGGAATTGAATTCTGCTCCGGCGTTAAGTAGTGCAATTAACTGGTGAAACATAAAAATTCTCATCCGCTTCCGCGAATCGCGGAAAGTTAACAGTTTTCATTCGACCAGTCGGAAAGTTAGCCAGCCGTCTGTACTTTCATTACTGCTAAGATTAATCTGCAGTTGAACTTTGTTCATTAATGCGAGATCATAAAAGTTTGACCGATTTTCATCTCGCAGCGACCGGCCCCACGGATCAAAGTGTAATGGTTTAATTTCATTTCATATTCTTTCTCTGCTGGATCTATCTATGTATATCTCGAGACGGTGGCTCAGCGGCGCTGACAATAATAAGTGCGATGGGTAAAAATTGAATGAACAAATATTTTTCACGAGCTCAATGGAAACGAGTAATCGCATTTTCCTTTATGTCGTTGAGAGTATTTCTTCCGTTGAATACCCGGGAACTCAATATTTTTCACATCGTTTTATTTGTAGCGTCGAAATATATTTTGCCCGTGAACTAAATTTCCGAAGCCGATAGTTTATATGAGAAGTTGATATTACAAAATAAAGTTAACTTGAAAACCGGAGAAAAAAACAGTGGCACGTTATCGAGAACGCATAGCAAGCGGATGTTTCGTAAAAAGAATCGTTGCCGAAAACAGGTAGCAGCGAATGTTTTACAGGGATTCGCGCATGAAAATTCATGGTCGGATTTTCTGTCCGCGCGGGATTACAGAATTTCACGTCCGTACGCAATCCACAATCGTCAGTTTATGTTAATTCTGTTGTATTTAACGATTCGTAATTACGCGTCGCGTACGTATCCAGCGAACGAGAAATTTTAATTATCTTTAATGAGAGAGAATTGTCGAAAAGTCTAATATTCGTTTTTGGATTTACTGATAAGAATATAGGATTACGATTATATGTATAAAGTTCCATTCGTTTCTGCGATACTTCCCAAAATCTGCGAATTGAAACAAAATATTCTCTCGTAAAATTTTCATGTCTTTAATGAGTGGAAAAAAAGCTCAACTGTATTAGTAACTCGTAACAATTAAAAAGATATACATTGATTTACGTAAATTGAATTGTACGGACTAATCGCATTTTGTGAAAATGTGTACTGAATTTTCTGTGAGTTTAAATGAAGCCATAGATCACAATTAAAACTGTGAACGTAGAATCGATCTTGCAGGAAGCGACGGGTAGGTAGCCCATTAAAATGCAGGAGATACTCGAATTCGACTCAATTGCGATCCGATTGCGGGCTGCAGGAGAGATACGCGTGACGTTACAGTGTCTAACATGACCAACAAATTATCTCCCTGGTGTACACTTACCAGCCACGCTAACGCACATTACCTGTGTAATTCTGTCGATATTTCATATGGATGTGCAATAAAACGACTTGCCATTAGCCACCCGGTATCTTGTGTACCTGGATAGCTGAGAAATGATTACGTAGGGCATACAACGTAACGGGGCGATCGATGGGAAACGGACTATATTTCGGTAATGTTTGCGAACGCCAGATATATCGTCCTGATATGCACACGCCCTCGCTACAAACTTCATTTCGCGCTGTACCCGTACCTAGTTTACCCTCCAGTTAACCTGTTTCCAACCATATTTTAAAAAATTAAAACTTTTCACCGAAACTATTTCAAAGTTCTCCAATGAATTAAGAAAAATAATGAACCAATTTCCTGAGATCACAGAAATTAATAAATTTACTCATAAATGTAGGAATACACTTTAATTGGTCACTGACTTCTGGAATATTTTAATTTTCTTCAGAATGAAAGAGAGGGAACTACTTAATATCTCTTTCCTCTTTAGTTCTATAAATAAATCAAAGGCGATCTTCGATTTGTCCTGAGAGGAAGCGTTTGAAATTTACCGTAAAATGACGTGAAACAATTACGAATGGTGGTCACGATAGAATTCATCAAGGCCTTATTTGATCAGCGACGGGAAGCTAATTCTTTTAGCGAGAGGGAGGAAAAGGCGTAATGTGTGAGTTTTCTCATTGGTCGTGGAATGTTTAATGTATGACGCCTTTCTATCTGAAATTCTGAAGAATCGAGCTGAATTTAGATCAAACCGGTAGATCTTCAAATGGCCGTACCTAAGATAACGGTTTCCTTCTCCAGGAAAGGACCACTCTTTCCTCTCCGTTTTTTTTTTTTTTTTACCTTACCCTCCGATGCGGAACGTTATCTGGCGCGTTTCTATTACAGTATTGGAACGGTACTATGAATTCCGGTTCATTCTGTCTCCGTGTAAGCTTCAACGACGACGAGCTTCGTTGGTAATCAGGGTCGCTACGAACATTAACGTTTACGACGTTACTGAGTTCGAAGCCAATTCTATAAAACGGTGTAATTAATGAATAAAATCGGAGGGGGAGAGAGTTTTGACAAATGCCACATTTTACATTCCACTCTGACATTCCCATTACAAGTATTATTTGTTTTACGACTTTCATACTTTGGGTTACATAAATATCCTGATGTCTGTTACAAATACCGACGGTTTCGGTTTATGACTCGCGCTACCTTCGCTTCCCTAAAAGACGTGGAACGCTTAAACTTTTCCTGAAACCTTTTTCGGATGAGTACCGACTCCCTCGCATTACCCATCCTCGCAGACGGAAAGTTTAAGGGCGATTTCTGTATCGTTTCAGAGCGGAACGATCGAAATGCACACTTTTGACTTTATTGTCGATGGAGATCAAATTTTTGATAGCCGATATGTCGCGTCTTCGTTGTTCCGGGCATAACATCGTCTGTAAAAGTTGAATGCGACGCTTTACGATCTGATTATACACTTGATAAAAAATATAATGCGCACTCGAGAGGCACGTGAAGTGAAAATATAAGAAATGATAAGGTAGCAGGTATACTTAAGAGATTAGAAATAGAATATTGGATTGTCATATACATATTTTATTTCTCAACTATAAACAGTACATTGTGCATATTACTGTGTGTACGTGCGAGTACAGAAAATCGGGAGAGAAAATTTCACTTGGCCAGGTATTATACAATCGTTACAGCCTGATTTTCGTCGGAAAGAACCGATGATTAGAGATATCGACTGATTGATCGGTGCGGCGGTCTGTTAAAGCACTCTCCGCACGTATACGTTCGCCCGGCGCCGCGAATCTGAATCACGAACCTAATCTAACCTCATCTGACAGGGGAAAGTAGATAATTCTTTTCGCCGATCGACCAAGAATTGATTTCAGGCTATTTTTATCCGATGTAAATCGGAAAACTTTTTCCCGTTCTAATGGAAACAGAATTAATTACGTTTAATTTTTTTACACGCTGTAAAATCATTTATTCATTTTCACGTTAACAGATTGAAGATTAACGAGGCGTACGTTGTACAACGGAAATTGACTTTTTAATTATTGAAATCGAGTTGTCGGTGGTTGGCACTAAACCTGTTCAAGAACAATTTGTATTCTAATGGGAAAGACAGTAAATGCAAATGTATCAAGCGTGACAAATTACATTTTTTATGAGGTATTTCCTGATAGTGAGGGTATTTCCTCATAGGATTACGTGCCATTGGAGGGTCAAGCGAGCACGATAACAGTTCCCGTCATGAAACGTTTATATGTACTGTATCGCCAATTGACCGTGAGCAGAACGCCGATCACGAGACATCAAGGCAAGCCGTGCGTTCAGCCGACGCGGACGCGTCGAGGAGCTTCCCTCGCGTCTATCAACCCTGAGAGTTTCGCGGTTGGATTCCTTATAGCAGAACTTATGTATTTCTCGCTATCTTCGGGAACGTGTCTTTCGTATAGAGAAGGCGGGTCCTATGGTTCACGATGGCGGAGGGCACGTGAGACCCGGACTCGATGGGCGCATGCGAACCAAACCTGAAGCTTACGGCAATCGAGAAAGGATGCCTTTTGTCTCCCTCTTTCACTCCCGCGCACGCCATCCATCCCCTTTCTCGCCCTCTCGTTTCAGTCTCGTCGGTGGCGAGCCGGGTGGCCCCCTCGTGTGCCAGTCTGCACCGAGATTCCGGCGCGAATCGTCCTTGTTCGTCGCGGCGTCACGCCAAACTCCTAGATGGATGTTGCTGAACCGCGTACTCGTCTCAGCGATTCCCATCGTTGCGCAGTTCCTCGCAGTCTGTCCGGCCTTCGTCGAAGGTTAGTGATACGAAGCTCGTGTTCGACGTTATGCGTACCGTCGCCGCCGTCCGTCAAATCGTCGGACGCGTTCAAAGCTCCTCGAGTGATCACGTGCGAACATCCCGTCGGCACGAAATACACGCGATCGTTGACGCATCCTGACGAGAATTTTTCACTGCCCTCCTTTCCCAGTGGTGATTCGATTTTTACCTCGTGATTCATGGATACGCTGCGATCGCGTGTCTCTTATCCCGTTTGTGTTCATGTGACGGTGCGCCTCGTAAAATCTGACGGCTATTTTGTCAGCATTGACGTCGTGAATATAAAACCTAAGTTAGACGTACGACCGGTCAGGCGTTACGATTATAGTACACCCGGAGTTTGGAAGCCAGTGACATGACGTGACGTGACGCGACGCGGACCAAGTGAATACGGGCGCCGAGGGGATGTTCGAGTGTTAACCGTCCGTGTTTTTTCGTCAACGGGGCATGTGCACGTTCGAACGCGTATTTAACGCTGTCCCGTCGGAGTGACGTTTGACGGCTATTACCATACGGCAAATTACGATAATTCTTTCGCTGTCGTTTTTACTCGTCGAATTAACCAGAGAGACGTAATCATTTTCAACTCGTTCGGAACAAATTTCCCGAATTCGTTTTATTCGATCCTGAGTATAGTATTTCATTGAGAAAGTATAAAATTGAAATTACGTACTCGAATTCGTGTGACGGTTACGAAAATGAGCCACGGCACATTTTGATTTATCAGAGAGCCATTACGTGTTAATGACCCGGGAAATATCATTTCCTCGTTAAGACTCGGAATTCGCGTTTGGTATTATCTACAATCGGACGAAGTTCAACCGCGACACGCGGGATATCTTCGTCGGTGGCTCGCGTTGCGGCTGGGTGGAAGCTCGATTTCTCTCGCGATTACCCCTCGATATCACGTTGCATTATTTATCCGTCCCCTATAAACCTGTCGAATTTTCGGCGAGGCGAGAAACCTTCGCCGAGGAAACTTTTGTCCGTTATCCTATTACCCTTACCACCCCCGACAATAAGGAACGAGGTTCACTGGGGGAGGCGACTGTCTGCGAAGCTTCCACCTTTTTTATCGTTCTTTTTACTCTCGTCTTCCTCACTTTATTCGAGCAACTTCCCCGCAAGCCGGAAACGTAGTCGCGCTGGCTGCCAAAAAATCGTAACGATCCACGTTTAATTTGAGTCCAACAACTGTAATCTTGATTCAATTCCATGTATTCTCATCAAAACCTTTGCTAGTTTTTTAATACGAATTTTAATCCTAAATTAATAACTCATCTCTTTCTTTCTCTCTGTTTATTCATTTCTGCCTCTACTCTCTAATTTTTAATGTAATAGAATATAAATATACAAGATTCATTAATTCTCTGATTTAATCTGTTCGATTATAAAATTGAATTGAAAATTAGTAGTAATTAATCCGAATAATTCGTTATCTGACTTTTCCGGGAAAAATGGTAAACCATACAGTGCCAACATTTACTTTAAAATAACGAAAAAGAAATTCAATACAGAGTACAGATTATCAACATGCTTCATTTATTTTCAACTGATAATGGATATTTTCGCATGAGCATTCTTCCACTGTTCGTATTTTCAGTTAAGCATTGCGCTTTTCGCTTCAATATTATTTATTTTCAAGGCAGTATGAATTTCGTATACATGTTTTATAATTTTAACAATGGATAACGAACATAAAGCTGAAAATGTGATATATAATATAAAAGCACGACATTTTAATTACTCTTTTTTTTCTTGTATGATAGGTTTCAAATACAGGAGAATTGAAACCTTCTCGTTTACGTTATAGAACATTATCCTGCGACTGCGTTTATCGATTTTCAATTTAATTTATTATCTATAATCCGAAAACCAATTCATTAGGTAGGCGCACGGTTATACATATTTCATACAGTGCACATAAAATTATTATTCCATCGAAATTAATACCCACCTTAAGCGTCTTATTTTAATATACACAATGGGAATATAATTTTTCTACCTGCAATATTTCACATATTGTATAATTTGCTTATAAACTAATGATTAATGAAATTTCCTTTCAGAAATTATCTACAATGAAACTCGCGTTGCATCTCGTATCAGTTTCGATGAAATTCAGGACGTATAATTTAATACTGAAATCAATAGAGCATAACAACAGCAGATAATATTTTAATATTCATAAGATCCTTTCTCTGATATGACCCTCAGACGGTATCTCCATTTATGAACAAATGACGTTAACGATATGTCTCTTGTGTAGTTTTTATAACGTACGGCTACGTGTAAGGAGCGACACGATCTCGGGATTCCTTCTCCCTATTGATTTCGCGAGGGCTTTGTTCACTGTTGCGTAAGAAAACAATTCTGTCTTGCGTGAATGCAATCGGAGCCTCGGCATTTACGTATTACACCTTAAAGTCGTAGTATGAATTGATACCTCGGCACTTTAATATGAATTCCGTAATACTTCCTTTCTTCAAATCACATTATTTTCTCATTCTTTGCCATTCCATCAATCGTTCTATATTCCTGAATATTAGTAATATTGTGGAATTGGTATTAAAAATGCTGAATGACAGCACCTATTTCAATCTTCATATATCATACTAAATTTTTATTAGCAACTTACCATTGCAAACTTTAATTGGCTTTCTGTATGCCAATGATTTTTCCTCACATGTTTGCCGACGTTGGTAATAAGTTGGGGGTGAAGCGTCCCGTCTTCGCCTCGGATAAATAGGGTGTGTACCGATACTTTGAGGAACGTTTACGGGAGGATTTTGTGTGCCGGCGTAACCGACAAATTTTTTACGCGTGCTCAAGACGCGGAAAATCTGAGGGAGAGGGTGTACATCGCGTTTTAAGCGCGGCGAGGCTTCGGAATTCTCCTCGTAAAGCTGTGCACGAAACCCAAGGTCTTCACGGCTATATAGACGCGATAGGGGATACGATGGGATAGATAGGGGATCCGGTTCGGGCTGTTCACGCGTGTGGATGTACTAGTAGTAGGTAGATCGGTTTCGTACTGAACTTGCCGACTGTTCCCCCAATTCGTGCGTAATATACTTGCGAAGTAGAACAGGCGACGCTTTCTACGGTGATGTGTTTTTGTCCCGTATGAGACTTGAATACTGGACACAGCATTGCGATTGCCCTCTGGTATAGTTTTTATTTGAAAAGTTCAGCACAGTGTTTCATTAATCGGTACGGTGTTAATAATTTGAAACATAAGTAGGTGAATTTTTTACACAGTTCTGATATGTATATTTTAAAATCAGTTTTATTTATAACAAACGCTTTGTTACATGGTTTTTAATTACATAATTGGGTCTCTATGTTTATTCCACGAAGTACATTTCTATTCGTTTCAATTATACAATAACTGTTCGGTTAAATAACCGGTGAAATCAGTCAATGCAATTGTTAGAATCTATTGAAGATCCTCCTTCATTATTCTATTATCTTCCTGCTCTGTATTAAATTTTCTGCAATATTAAATTTGTAATTTGAGAAGAAACGTAATTTCATATGCAACGACGCGGTGAGTTATAGCATCTAGTTTTTGCACGATCAATCTTCCCACCGCGGCGTTGAATAACATCCAATCAAATTCCTGAGCCATATTCTACTGTCCCACTTAAGACAGCTGCGCGCATCGTCTGCACAAGTCTTTCTGCCTCGACCCAGGGAACGCGTGTTCANTGTTCGGTTAAATAACCGGTGAAATCAGTCAATGCAATTGTTAGAATCTATTGAAGATCCTCCTTCATTATTCTATTATCTTCCTGCTCTGTATTAAATTTTCTGCAATATTAAATTTGTAATTTGAGAAGAAACGTAATTTCATATGCAACGACGCGGTGAGTTATAGCATCTAGTTTTTGCACGATCAATCTTCCCACCGCGGCGTTGAATAACATCCAATCAAATTCCTGAGCCATATTCTACTGTCCCACTTAAGACAGCTGCGCGCATCGTCTGCACAAGTCTTTCTGCCTCGACCCAGGGAACGCGTGTTCAACTTTAGATTTTGTACCACTTCAGTAACCAGACCGCCGTACTCTTCATTTAATTATGAACTGAGATCTGAAATGTTATGTAAATATTATATTTAATTACAGCATTCTTATATATTAAATCAATAATTAATTAATATTTTTCTATGAAAGTACTTGCTCATGATTCAGACACTGAAATTATTCATGGTTTTATTATAAAGGGAAATAGAAAAGAAATAATTCAGAGAGATAAAGATAATTTTCCATCTGCGTGATGCAAAGAAAACTGGAATGTTTTATGTGTCTGTAAATACTGCCAATCTTTTCTTCGGATGTATGGCGTAAAGTACAACGGACGACGGTTTGCAATGCACATTAGCTCGTCACTTCGTTGGGAAATTAGGCTACCGCGATTGAGTCATCTGAATCGATGCAGAGAGAGCCGCATTGTACGCTGGATTCCATTGTACGCGTGCTGTATGCCATGAATCGAGCGGTCATTAATATACAACACGCCGCAAGGCGACATTCAACCCCGAAAATCAGCCGAACGATCTCCCGCCGCCAGAATATTGATTGATTCGCTGCCGCGCGTTGGAATAACTCGAGACCTCGGTTTACAATAATGCTGACTTAACAATGTGCGCCGGTCAGAGATTTATGATGGCCCCACGAATTTTCTAGTCAAAACTGAAAACCACCCTTGCCTACCTTTCTCCGGGATCGTATTCCCAATTAGTTTCTTCATTCTAGTATCGGTACAGACAAAATATAATTAATTGTGCGTGTAAGTTACGTTTCTCTTGGGAATAAAATTAGATATTTTGATCAAGAGCAGATTTATTTAAAATAAGTTACCGCTGTTGTTCATTATTGTAGGATCAGTTAATTTAGTGAATAAAACTAAAATTAGTTCTTCACTGTTTATAGTAATTTATAGTTTATAATAAGTGAACAATTCCATTTTAGC